GACCAGCTCAGAGGGGCTACAGTATTCTCGAAGATCGATCTGCGTTCTGGATACCATCAGATTTCCGTTAAGAGAGAAGACATTCCGAAGACTGCTTTTAGAACACGCTATGGGCATTATGAGTTCTCAGTCATGCCTTTCGGATTGACTAATGCCCCGGCAGTGTTCATGGAGCTTATGAACAGTGTGTTCCGACCATACTTGGACCAGTTCGTAGTAGTGTTCATCGATGACATCTTGGTTTATTCACGGACTCAGGAGGAGCATGCTAGACATTTGCAATTGGTTTTGAGTGTGTTGAGAGAGCACAAGCTGTATGCAAAATTGTCTAAATGTGAATTCTGGTTGAGTGAGGTGACATTCTTAGGACACGTTATCTCTGCCACCGGTATCCAGGTAGACCCCAGCAAGATTTCAGCCATAGTGGATTGGAAGACTCCGCGGAATGTTCGTGAGGTGAGGAGCTTCCTCGGGTTAGCCGGTTACTATCGTCGATTTGTTAAGGGCTTCGCCTCGATCGCTACTCCATTGAACAAGCTACTGCGTAAGGACATCAAATTTGAGTGGTCAGAAGCGTGCCAACGCAGTTTTGATCAACTGAAGGAGTGCCTGACCCAGGCACCAGTCTTGATTCAACCTACTCCTGGCATCGAGTATACCATCTATAGTGACGCATCTCATAGCGGCTTAGGTTGTGTACTGATGCAGTTGAGTAAGGTAGTGGCCTACGCATTGAGACAGTTGAAGACTCGCGAGGAGAATTACCCGACACATGATTTAGAGTTGGCAGCCGTGGTGTTCGCCTTGAAGATTTGGCGCCACTACATCTTTGGAGAGAGGATTCACATCTTCACCGACCACAAGAGTTTGAGGTACCTACTCACCCAGAAGGAGCTGAATCTTAGACAACGCCGATGGTTGGAGCTGATCAAGGATTATGATTTAGTCATTGAGTATCACCCGGGCAAGGCTAACATCGTGGCCGATGCTTTGAGCCGAAAATCGTTAGCCGAGTTACAGCTTCAGTCTCCGTTAGATCAGGAGATCCGTACAGCACAGAGAGATGATGAGTTTTGTCAGAAGACTCGAGAGTTAGTTCCTACAGGAAAGAGGCCCGAGTTTGCAATTCGCGATGACGGAGTCTTGTACTATCGTGAACGCCTAGTGGTGCCCCGCGGTGAAGTGAGGGATCGCTTGTTACGCGAGGCTCACGGAACCGTATACACTATGCACCCGGGTAGTAACAAGATGTATCAGGATTTGAAGAAATCCTATTGGTGGCCAGCTATGAAAAAGGAAATCTCCGAGTTCACTGCGCGCTGTTTGACTTGTCAGCAAGTCAAGGCTGAGCACCAGGTTCCGACAGGGTTGCTTGACCCTTCTACCATTCCGGAATGGAAGTGGGAAAGGATCACTATGGACTTTGTGATAGGATTGCCACGATCTTCACGAAAGAATGACGCCATCTGAGTCATTGTTGACAGGTTGACAAAGTCCGCTCATTTTCTACTCGTCAGACGTGACTCTTCCTTGGACAAATTGGCAGACTTATACGTTAGAGAGATAGTTCGGTTGCACGGTGCACCGCTGTCAATCATATCTGATAGAGATCCCCGGTTCACTTCGAAGTTCTGGAGAGGACTTCAGAAGGCTTTTGGCACAGCTTTGAACCTTAGTACGGCATTTCACCCTCAGACCGATGGCCAGTCTGAGAGGGTGATACAGATTGTCGAGGATATGATGCGAGCTTGTGTGATCGACTTTGGAGAAGATTGGGAGCGTTACTTGCC